ATATCTACATATATATGTATAATATATATAATATATATATATATATATATATATATATATATACATATATGTACACACATATGCTGTACATACAGGTGCTCTATGTGCGATATGGCGCGATATATCGACCACACCCGCGTCCTGAAGCATGTACGAATTGCGAGTTCATCGGTCCCGAGGGGGACGATGCAGATGTGATGTTTGTAAACATCTCGTTTCCGAGTTCATAACCGGTTCCGGAGGGGGGGCAGGGTCTCTGCGCACGGCAGAGTTGCTATTTTTGGGATCAGCAGGACGGAACGATGCGATGCAGGACGAATGACGAAGCCGCCGAAATCAGGAAGTTCTTTCGAACGACCCACGTTAAAAAGTTCCGACCGAGCAACATTATTCCGCCGTAAATTTATTCCGCGGCGCGTGTTACGTTCGTACATGCGATATAACTAAGATAACGCCCGCGATTTTCGCCAATCGGGAAGTTATATACTCGTTTCGGAGTTGACTCGCGCGGAGAACACTCGACGTTTTTTTCTCTGTGTCTTTCTCGAAATGTCAAAGGTCAAACGTCGCATCTACAGCGAACGTATCATCCTTTTGTTCGCAGAGCTTCCGCCTATCCTGAGGATACGCTTGGAATCATCGTCGTTCGTTCGATCGTGATTCTCGCCGGTGCGAGATCTCGGGTAAACAACAAACAAAAGAGAATCGAGTTCAATCAGCGAACGTCAACGGAAAAAACAGGAAGCAGCGAGACCTTGGAGGACGACTCGGAGGCGATCGAATCGCGTCGACGTTGTCCGTTGAGGTGCTTCTCACACGCGAGCTGGCACGCTCAGCCTGGATTATCATGTGACTGTGTCAGACAGCCTCTCTCACATCCGGCCCATCTCTCCCGAGGGATGTCCTCCTCCGCGGGTACCGCCTGCACGGACGCCGAGGAGGACGCCGAGGATGTGGAGAACGACGTCGCGGGTACAAGGCGGGCGCAGTCGTTACGTTACCTGTCGTCGTCGTCGTCGTCGTTGTCGCGAATACGTAACCGTAGCCGCGCGAGCGATCACCTGGAAGGACTGCGGTTAGATGGGTCATCGGTCGTGCATCCGTCAACGTCCGACGACACTTCCGGGATCACCGTCGAGGACTCAGACCGTCCATCGACACCTTGGGCGCGCGGTTAAGACGAAGCCAGGCCCGTCCCGGCGACCGCGACTGTCAACAACGCACGTAATCATCTACATCGAGGGACGACGGCCAGGTGGATCGATCGGCGCCGCACTCCGCTCGATCGTCCTTACCCTGTTCCTTATCCATTATCACCACTTCCTCGACGACGGCCCGATTGTCCGGCACTTCCGGCCGATACTTAATCCTCCCCCGGGCGGATTCGGCGAATCGCCCGTCATCGAACGACCGACGGTTGGGCCGATCGATAGATCGTCGCGGTCGACTGCGACGTTCGGCGTCTTGAACGCGAGGGATTCACGTTCGGAGTCTGTGAACGAATTCGACGTCGTCGAATCGAGCGCGCACGACGGCCGGCAGGCACGTGCGGCTGGAATTCCGGACGAGTATCGGGTGTGCGAATCGATAAGCGAATTCGACGAGGCGCGCTCGAGGGTCTTGGAAGGATCAGGTGGATCGTCGACCATCACCAGCACCAGCAGCAGCGGAAGCAACAGCAGCGCTGTTGTCGAGCGGTCCTCTGGGTCAATAGATGAACTAATCTTGTCGAGCCGAGTTGGCCTCCCGGGTGGACCGTCAATTCAATTCGCGAAATCGATTCGGCGAAAGGATAGCCGGATAAAGCTTGCTGCGACGCGGCTTCCAGAAGCCGTCGTCGTCGATCTCAAGGAACAATTCCCGATAATCGCTTCACGGCCGATTCTCCATCTTCTCGCCTTCCGCCTTCCATTATCGTATCCGCGAATTACACGTGTCGGACACGTGTCGACTGTCCCGAGCGGATCGCGCGAATCGATAAATCAGTTTTCCCAGCCGGCCATTCTCGAGACGATCCGCCGCTCCTCGTCGCCGTGGGGATCGTTAATTCTCGCAGCAGCTGTCCCATCCCGAATCGCCGCCGTCACCGCCGTCGCCGCCGCCTCCGCGATGACGTCCGCAAAGGGCACGTCGTTCAGGTGACGAAAGAAGTTGTCGATTGCCACTCTCGCTATCGTTCATCGGAGAATCGTCGACGGAAAAAAACCCTTCCGGGAGATTAACGTTCGATCGGTTTGTTTCTAATGGGAAGCGAGGGCAGTGATAAATCGGCGCATAGGATCTAAGACGTGAGAAAGATCTTTCGCCAAAAGAGTTTGCGGCCTCTCTCTTTCGTTCGTTTTTTTTTCTTTTTCGTTACGCCACCACGTCGGGATCTTCATTCCTCAACGTCAAGACGTCGGAAATCGGAAACTTATCCCCCCAAGTGCCATAAGTTAACGCAGTGCTTCGATTGATTCGTCGGGAGAGCGATCGGGAGAGAGGAATACGAAAAAAAAGTCCATTCGCGTATGCCGCGAAAGTGCGAAATTTTTTTCAACAAACAAGACAAACTGAGTATTTACTTTTGAAAAAATAAATAAATAAATAAATAAAACCACTTGTTACGCAACGCAACGCGCGCGTAACGTGTCAAAGAGTATTTTTTTTNGNGGGGGGGGGGGGGGATTTGTCGCGAAGTCAAAAGTGATTAGTGTGCTCGGACTGCGCATGTACCGGTCTAATGAGTCGCGATGGTGAGTCACCGCGTTCGAACGACATCGCGAACAATCGCGAGTGCGTGAAGTGTGTCCGTTGTTGTTTTTTTTTTTTTTTTGTTACCGAGAATATATATATATATATATATATATATACCGAGAGGTGATCTTATCACGGTGAAGCGGCGGAAGTGAGAGAAGAAAAAAAAAGAAAAAAAAAACAAAGGGAAATTTACGAAGACGAACCTTCGCCATGTGTCGCGGTCGGCTTGAGATCGTTCAAGCCGACGCAGGCCGGCCGAGATCCTGATAGCCACCGCAGCGACCAGGATCCGGGACCATTCAACGAAGAAAGGATGCCAGGGGGGCGCAGGGGCCTGGTAGCCCCCCAAAACACGTTCCTGGAGAACATCATACGACGTAGTAACAGTCAACGTGAGTGAATTTTCTTCATCTTTGATGAATATCGATTATTCGATCGATCGATTTAAATTTTCACAATTTTCTTTATAACGAGACGTCGATCGAGATCAAAGTTCTAAAATTTGGAGATTAAATTGCAATTAACAAAATTGCAATCCTCTTCTAAATAAAAAAAAAAAAAAAAGCTTCAGGTCGAATGAATTCTCCCTTTTTAATGAAAGTTTTTTAATTCGAAACGCGCACAGAGTATTTATGGAAAGATACCGTATACGATGATGATTTTCCTCTTCCCCTAAAAAAATTGGAGAATTGCGAAAAGCAATTAACTTTCTTCGACATTTTTACCGATGAAGTGTCGCGTATTCGCACACATAAATCGGCTTAAAAAAATCTACCTCATTAAAACTAATGAGAAAATTATTTCCTAATGAACTTACGGCTGTTGTACGATAAAACAGTAAATATATGAAAACTTCCATTGGCGATCGGCGATTAAAACCGGTGCAAACGCAAAAAAACTTTTTTGCAACAAAAAGAAATTTCGATGTAATCTTTTTCAATTTGGCTAATTAATGTAATTGAGGCAAAGATATATAAACCGCGCCCGGCCGCATGTAAATTAGCTATATTGCGCACACATTCGACATGTTTGTTCAAACGCAGAAAGAATACGATAATTAATTATAGATTACTATAAATTAATAATCTTCTTCATTATAATTTTGCATTATTCCGTAAATTATCGGGAAATCGATAATAACAATTTTGTTCCATTGTTGTTATTGAACTTCACGGTGTGTAATAATATTTCGTTGAGGAAATATATTGCCCATATATACACATACGCAGATCGTTGCCTGATTTAAGTCATAAATAAACTGTTTGGCAGTTATGTAAGGGCTAAATCAAGCACGTAATTCGATATCGATTTTCCTAATTGGAATGCCTTGAATTTCCGGAATCTGCCGGAATTCCCTATACTCATACACGTTCCGCGAAAGGAGAAGGGCGGAAAATAGCGAGAGGCAGTCAATGAAGCCGAACCTCGTTCGTTATATGGATATATAGTATACTTTCGACTCGCTTGTTTTTACAAAGGGGCGGGTTATAGTGTCGGTGTATGCTTAAAAGCGTCACGAACAAGTGGATTTTCAAGTGCCATTACTCTATAGTAGCGCTCGATAGATTCTTGGCGGTCAAAGTTTCGGTTTGGAGTTAATTAAAAGTTCGCGGCGAGTGGCGCACGCCGACAAAGAAACGTCGTTTGTAATCGCGTCTCTTATCGCGTTCTTGCGGCTAAAATGTATCGAATACATAAGCGTGCGAGAGAGATAAATCGTAAACGTCGTACTTGGGTGAAATACTTTTTTTTGCAAAAGAAAAAGTATAAGTACCTCAATTTGTAACGCGATCCAAATTGTTTTGATACACACACACATAATGTGATATAATTTGAAAAATATAAATATTATATAAATATTATATGATTTGAAAAATATAAATATTATATTATAAATATATATAAATATTATATTACAAATATATATAAATATTATATAAATATTATAAAATTTGAAAAATATAAATATTATATAAATATTATATAATTTGAAAAATATAAATTATTTTTTTATATTACGTGAAAAAACGCGTATACAAATCGTCTTTGCGCGTGATATGATGATAATAACACGGCAAACGTGCCAAAGTGTATAACTCTCAATAACGTCGACGTACGTAAAGTTGATGGGAAAATTATGCCGTGCGTGTGTAGGAACATTTTGACCCCAAAAACTGTGCATCAGACAGCTAAGCGGAACAGTTTAGATCATATAATACGGCGAGAGAAGTTACGACACGGTCGCTTATATTATAGGTATGTGTGTATAATAACGCGAGACAATTTACAAAAGAGTTATGGTGTTGCAAGAGGGAAGAAGAACTTTTATCCGCTCTGTGTCCATCAGCGATAAGACGCTCGGCCCTCTGTAAAGTTTTTCTTTCTCGGCGAAATTTTTATTGTCGTATATATAAAAATACACAATAACATCCGCGACGAAATTTTTCTTTTTTACGTTCGAGTATTTGAACAACATTTATATGGCTCTCGACGACGGCGCGACGTGTTTGTCATGTTTACGGAGAGACGGTTTTATGGAGACTACGGAGACCTTTAAATTTCCTTCGACGGGAAATCGACGGGAAAGGGAAAGAGGATCAAAATCCCTTGCGATTCTCTCTCTCTCTCTCTCTCTCTCTCTCTTTCTCTGTAAAGAAAATAAATCCTAGATCGGAGATGCGGATGCTGCGCACGCACCGCGACACCGACGTCTCTCTCTCTTCGCACTCTCATCACGGGCTTGCCGCACGTCGCGTGACGAGCGCTACGGGGCAAACGATGTAGATTTATTCAGACTTCGTTTCTCCGGAAACTGCTTTGCATGACGAGAAAGATGGGGATTACAACGCTCGCGACGTGTATAAAGTCGTCACTCTTAAGTTTGTCTCTTCGAAAAAAAAAAAAAAATTACTCGTCATGCGGAGGAGAACGCCTGAGTGAGAATCTTCGCTTTCTTGAAATCAAAATTTCAATACAAACATACAATAATACATGTTACAATAATAATAATGTTGCTTTAAGGTTATTATTTTTTTTTCTTAAGTATATTCGCGCGACTTCCGACGCGAAAGCGAAAGAAAGTCGAGAACGCGATTGTTCTCGCGTTCGCGACTTTTCGCGCAAAAAAATCGAAGTGTAAGACCGTGTGAGACCGTGAGACGGAAATAGAAATTTGCGTCTTTATCTTCGAAAATCGAAACAGCGTGCGTGCGCGCGACGCGCGTCCGCTCGGCGCGATAACGCGATTATTATAGACGCTTATGCGGCGCGCGCGCGCGCGCGCAACGACAGATACTCGATGGGAGGAAATTATTAGCGACAACGATATAGAGAGCATATTTTCGACGAGCCACTGCTCCGGAAGTAAATTATACAAAAGCCGACGCGATTCCGACATAATACGCGAGCGTCATCATCACTTGCGAATACGTACGAGAGCGCGCGCGCGCGTCGCCGTTATATACCTTTGATGCATTATCGTGATTGAAAATCATCGGCCTAGGGAAATGGTCGGCGACACACACAATCCCGAGCCTGTCACCGCGCGCACCGTTAGTCAAACCGACGCCAGGTATCTGTCGATAAACACCGTACGAAACGTTACGTGCCGCCGCATAGACCCGAGGCACTGATCGGTGACCGATTCACGTGTGTGTGTGTGTGTATCATGTATATATTATTTTGATGAAAAAAAAAACCTCTTTCTCTACGGCTTTTTACAGATATTGGAGATGCACGCCTCGTGCACGCCTCGTGCTTTTTACGAGCGCCCGTATATATATATATTAAAAGCGTGAAATTGATTTCGAATGTTTTTCTAAAAGAGTTTTTTTTTTTTTGGTTAGAAAGAGAATTTATTGTTTTTATGTGTTTTGATTTTTTTGCCGACTCACTTGTGCGTTACACACGCACGTTGCATTGCTGCCATTATTATGCACGACCGTAAGATGCTTTCAATTTTCGTATGAAAAAAAAAAAAAAACTGATCTAATCCACATCCGATAATGTAATTATTTATACATTTCACGCATAAATTATATTAACAATTATCTTAGTTGTTCGAAAGAGAGAAAAGATGTTTTTTAACATATGTGTCATTAACGTTAGTCTCTCATTATTATATCATCAACTGATTGGGAAACGAGCGCCTGGGGGGAGGGTTCTTAATATTTTCATAAAATATTCATGACGCATCGATCACGCGACCCGATCGCAAACTACTGACTTCGACCCGTTGCATCATTGAGCTTGCAATTCCCCCATCATTGTTTCAAACTACTATACTTGTTAATAAACCGACGGCACATTTCCGTTTTCATACATAACAAATCTGTTGTATTTCAATAATAAGCAAAGGGCAAACATTTGAAATCTCATTTACGTTTGAAATACGCGACGACGAACAAATAAAAAAAAAAAAAAATAGATAAGAATTACGAAAACACATCCGAAATAAACGATGAGATCTTGGAGATTTTATGGGGATGAAGTATATGGGCGAGAAGGGGGAGGGGGAGAGAGAAAGAAAAAAGAGAAGCCGCGTATGTGCAGGGAGAGGAAACGCCTCCTGTGAGAGACGGTTGCGACAGAGAGACGACCGAGTTCAGTTACCGTGTTTTACTTGTTACAAGCTTTGCAGCTTTGAAACTCGGGGAAAGTTGGAAAAGCGCGCTATGTGCCCGTCTATATTTAGCTCATACGTGGCGAGTTCACGGCGCGCCGTTTTTACGCTCGCACACTAGCCTGTAAATAAAGGGAATTTACTACCTCGAAGAAAGAGAGAGAAAGAGAGAGAGGGAGAGAAAGAGATGAAAAAGATAATCTCTTTCGTCAAATTGCATTGTTTATTAACTATTCGCATTTTGTCACACTTTGCATATTTATTCACAAGCAAGATTGTGATTATTATGCGAGAAGCAATCTCGATAACATTATTATTTCCTAATTATAGAAATGTATATTAATAGTGTATTACACACACACACACACATTTTTTAATTAATAATATATTTGAATTACGTCACAAAACATCAATGTCAACATTGAAAGATATTTAAAACAATTGTAAGGAAAAATTTTATATATATATATTTTACATATTATATATATATTTATATATATTTATATATATTTTATATATATTTATATATTTTATATATATTTTACATATTATAAATTTTATGTATTGATTTTTTCTTTGTATTAATTATTTATATATCGCGCGCGAGTGTGTGTGTGTGTGTGCGTTAACATATATGAAGACTGCAGGGGGAAGAACTCGATAAGTCTCACATTTTCGTAATATTTTAGAAGAGAGCGATTTTAAAGTTCGAAACGTATATATGTGTTTTTTTGTGTTACACACGTTTTATAAAAATGTGTTTATATCTCG